CCTCTAGCCTGATCGCCCGTATGCCACAGGCCAGAGACCTGCCCCCCAAGACTCCTGTTTGAAGTAGAGCAGAGTCCTGAGCAAACCCATCAGGAAACCAAGAATCCACCACCACCCTTGGGAAATTGTTCCCATGGTGAATTATCCTCCCTGTGCAAAATGTACGTCTCATTTCCAGTGCGAATTCTCTAGCTTCGATGGCCAGCCATTGCCTGGTGTTAGACCTTCCTCTGCTGGACTGATCAGTCCAGCTGACCTGAATGTGGCAAAGAAAGAGCCCCTCCCTAGCCAGAGAGCAATTAGCAAAGGCCTGCTGGCAACCAGGGAGGGGCTGGGGATCTCAAAGAAAGGGGCACAAGAATATTCTATAATGGGGTTGTGACGAAGTGGGACTGTTCTTAATGTTTCCTCTGAATAGTGTGGGGGTGCCTCAGTTTCCCCTAGGCAGTTCTTAAGTATCTAGGGGGTGGAGTAAGGGTGTATGATCATTGCAGAGCCCTAGAGGGCATGTGTGTGCAGGAGTCTGGACACAGAGAATGGCCGACACCCTGTTTCCTGGCAACTGATGGCCTGGGCCCTTCCCCCCCTGCAAGGTGAGAGCTGAAGGGTTGGAGAACAAAGGAATCAGGTGACCACCTGGCCCGGGAAAGGAACAAAGCCCAGAGGAGGAGGGGCTGGAGGGGGTTTCAGTTTGGGGCTGGGACATGGAGTGAAGTGCAGACGTGGTTGTCTGGCTCACTGCCCCCAAAATGGACCCAGCTGAGGGGTCCCGTTCTCTGCACCTGCAAGCTCTGTGTTAGACCATGTTCCTGTCGTCTAATAAACCTTCTGGTTTACTGGCTGGCTGAGAGTCACATCTGACTGCGAAGTTGGGGTGCAGGACCCTCTGGCTTCCCCAGGAGCCCCGCCTGAGCGGACTCGCTGTGGGAAGCGCACGGAGGGGCAGAGGATGCTGAATGCTCCGAGGTCAGACCCAGGAAGGTGGAAGCTGTGTGAGCTGCGTGTCCTGAAGACAGGCTGCTCACAGAAAGGCGACTGCCCCAGAGTCCTGACTGGCTTCATGGGGAGCAGTTCCAGAGCATCGCCCAGGGACTCCGTGACAACTGGTGGCAGCGGTGGGATGTACTGCACCCCGTGGATGGCGCTTCCTGCAGTAAGTGACTGGGGAGCAGTAACACGAAGGGGGATTGCCGAGGACTAGGCCTGCTGAAGGCTCAGAAAGGAGCGGTTTCGGGGAGCGGTTAACCCCTGGGAGTGTGTGACCAGCGAGAAGGACTGTGCAGTAACAGGGTTCCCCTGGGGATTGCAGCGAGCAGTCCAAGGGGCGGAGGAGTCTGCAGCTCGACCCTGGCAAAGAGGTGGTGACCTCGAGAAGGGCTGACACACTAGGGGTTCTCCCTGGAAACCGTGGGGAGCTGAGAACACACGGGCCTGTGAGTCCACAACAACTTGGGAGGAGCGGAGTGATGGCCTGTCACCGTCTCCTTAAGAAGGACATTGTAACCCTGTGCAAAAAGAGAGGGTTGAGCGTTGGAAAGTTCACCAAAGCAGAGTTAATCGTGCAGCTGGAGGAGGATGACCGCTCTAAGGAACAGATTCCTGACCCCAACTGGGGCTATAGCAGGATCTGGGAGCAGCTGAAGCGGGAGCCAGGCATCGCCAAGACTCCTGTCCCCGACCAGACGGGGGTCTTCACGATCGGGTTCCCCATTGGGGGATCAAGACGGACGGGATTGGAGCTGAGTCTGAGAGAGCAAGAGGACTGTGAGAGACAGCGAGAGCCCGAGAAAGAGCTGCAGAAGCAGCAGCAGCATGAACTGGCGGTGGGGGAGCGGAGAGGCCTAGGGGACCTCCCAGGGGTGAGTGGGGATAGACCCCGGGGGGCCAGTTCCGCAGGGAACCTCGAGACTAAATTGCTGCCCCTGGTTAAGGGGGGGGTGTGTGTGGATGCCACCTCACTGCCTTTGAGCAGGCTGGCGATTTGAACCAAGGGGACCCTGCGGAAAAGCCCCGGTGTCTAGCTCCCTTGCTGGGTCCCAAGGCCACAGACTCCGTCAGCCAGATGGTTGGGGATGTGGACAGGCTCCCACTCCTGACCCCAACCTATATGTCTGTGTGGAGTTTCCTGGGGCCAGGCCCCCCCGGACCTCCAGTGGGAGCAGAAGGTGATGGTCAATGGGGAGACATTCTTGGGGTGGCCAAAGGGCATGGGCTGCATAAACCTTCCCACATGCGGCCTGCGAGTGCTATCGACCACCACTGACCTAAGGGAGGGCGTGAAACTGGAAGGGCCTGGTGTAACTCCTACCAAGGAATGGGAGAGATGCTGGGGCATCCATGGGAACGTTGGTGGCTTCGAACTTCCCCAGGTCACCGGCTAAAGTGACCCCGCTCAGTTCGATCTCGAAGGGGGGAGAGATGTGACGAAGTGGGACTGTTCTTAATGTTTCCTCTGAATAGTGTGGGGGTGCCTCAGTTTCCCCTAGGCAGTTCTTAAGTATCTAGGGGGTGGAGTAAGGGTGTATGATCATTGCAGAGCCCTAGAGGGCATGTGTGTGCAGGAGTCTGGACACAGAGAATGGCCGACACCCTGTTTCCTGGCAACTGATGGCCTGGGCCCTTCCCCCCCTGCAAGGTGAGAGCTGAAGGGTTGGAGAACAAAGGAATCAGGTGACCACCTGGCCCGGGAAAGGAACAAAGCCCAGAGGAGGAGGGGCTGGAGGGGGTTTCAGTTTGGGGCTGGGACATGGAGTGAAGTGCAGACGTGGTTGTCTGGCTCACTGCCCCCCAAAATGGACCCAGCTGAGGGGTCCCGTTCTCTGCACCTGCAAGCTCTGTGTTAGACCATGTTCCTGTCGTCTAATAAACCTTCTGGTTTACTGGCTGGCTGAGAGTCACATCTGACTGCGAAGTTGGGGTGCAGGACCCTCTGGCTTCCCCAGGAGCCCCGCCTGAGCGGACTCGCTGTGGGAAGCGCACGGAGGGGCAGAGGATGCTGAATGCTCCGAGGTCAGACCCAGGAAGGTGGAAGCTGTGTGAGCTGCGTGTCCTGAAGACAGGCTGCTCACAGAAAGGCGACTGCCCCAGAGTCCTGACTGGCTTCATGGGGAGCAGTTCCAGAGCATCGCCCAGGGACTCCGTGACAGGGGTGCATTAGGCAGTGTAAATACAGGTGGAGACCTGTAACTGGAGACCATCTTACCTTTGCGCCTGGCAGCTCTTTGAGTCTTTGTTATTCCAGCTCCCTCTCCTGCTGTGATCTGTCCCTGCTGCCCCCGCAGCACCCCACCAGGCAGCGGGGAGGCAGAAGCCTGTTTCTTAAGTCCCGCTCTGGGCTTTGCTGGGCAGGGCGGCTGATCCCAGCCCTAGCACAAGGCCGTGTGCAATGCACCGTGTGACCGCAGCCCCCCCGATTGCCCGGGCTCCCCTTACGGCCCGGCAGGACACGGCGCCCGCGCTCACTGAAAGACGGAATGGGCCAGGAGCTCGGGTGGCGGCAGGGTGAGGAAACGTGAGCTCAGTTACTCAGCCCCTTCCAGGAGACCCGGGCTCCCAGCAGCCCCTCCAAGCGAGCTGGCAGCTGTGCAGCTTGAGGTGCATTCGGTCCCAGTCCCGTGTTATCTGGGGGTTCCCCGTAGGGAGCGTGATGTACTTTGGGGTGTGGACGGGGTCTCCAGGGGCGCTTTGGCTGCCTCTGTGGCAGGGGAGAGGCAGGGTCCCTCCTCTTCTCTGTGCAGAGCTCTCCCGGTTGCCCCAGGAACCAATTCAGCCAGGCCCTAGCGCAGGGGTGGCCAGCCTGAGCCTGAGGAGGAGCCAGAATTTATCAATGTACATGGCCAAAGAGTCCCAGTAATACGTCAGCAGCCCCCCATCAGCTCCCCCCACACGCTCCCAGCGCCTCCCGCCCACGGGCAGCCCCGCCGAACAGCGCCTCCCCCTCCCTCCTGATCAGCTGTTTCGTGGGGTGCAGGAGGCTCTGGGGGTGGGGTGGGGGAGGAGCGAGGGCACGGCAGGCTCAAGGGAGGGGGCGGGAAGGGGTGGAGTGGGGGCAGGGCCTGGGGCAGAGCCGGGGGTTGAGCAGTGAGCACCCCCCGGCACATTGGAAAGTTGGCACCTGTAGCTCCAGCCCCGGAGTCGGTGCCTGTACAAGGAGCCGCACGTTAACTCCTGAAGAGCCGCGTGTGGCTCCGGGGCCCCAGGTGGGCCACCCCGGCCTAGCGCGGCAGCGCTCCGTGCTGAGCCCACCAGCGGAGGGGTGAACGGGTCCACTGGGGCCTCCGTCCCGCCGGGGCAGCGGGAACAGCACAGGGAGCGGGCCGGCACGGGTCCCGCTCAGCCCCGCCCGCTCCGCCCAGGGAGAGCAGCCCCCTCGTGCCCAGTGGACATCTTTCCCCGAGCCTTCACGGTCCATAGGGAGTCTCACGCCCTTGGGACTCTGCAGCGAGGGGTGGCAAAGTCCCTTGGCTGGCATGGCACGTCCTCCCCGCTGCAAGCAGGCCGAGCACCTCGCACTCCCTCCCGAGCAAGGCCCCTGGCTCTGAGCAGCCACCACCTCAGCTGGGCCTGGAGGGGGGAGTTCCCATGGGGGCGGGGGTGGAACTGCCTCCGCTACAGCTGGGAAGCTTCCTGTCCACCTGAACGGAGCTCAGCAGGGTCTGTCCCGGCTGGCTCCGACCCATCCATCCCCCGGGGGACCGGCCAGCTCCTGGTGCCAGCTGCAGACTCAGAGCAAGGGAGGTACAGAGGTCAGGGCCTAGCTCGTTCACGCCACTGCTAGCAGGGTGGCTGAGCTCAAAACTACTCCAGCCCCCACCTCTCCCAGCAGGGGGCGCTGTGGGGAGCGGGGCAGGAGCTGGCTTGGGGGAGCTCCCGGTTTCTCCAGCAGCTTCTGGAGCAGGAAGACGGTGCAGCTTCGCGGGGCAGTGCTGGGACCCTCAGCAGCTGTGACCAACGGGAGCTCTTGTGCCAGAAGCTCTTTACCAGTTACAATCAGACTGAACTGTATCACCTCTGACTTTATTGCTGAGCTCCCAGAACAGAACAGGAGACGGTGTCCCGGTGCCCCGTTGGGCTGGCCAGGGCGGAGATATCGGGAGAGCCGCAGCGGGCACGTCTATGCAGCAGCTGGGCGCAAGCTCCCGGCCCCATCAGATACCACCTGACGCCTGGGAGCTGGAGCGCCAGCCCGAGACAGAACATCTCCCCTGCTCTTTGTGCCCCCCGGCCAGGCTCCTCAGTCCGGCCTGCTTTGAAATGTCCCTGGCAGACGATCCCACAGCCGGATCCATCTCCCAGCCGCGGAGTCACTCCTGATATTCACCCTCATTCTTCCCTTCCTTAACCCCATCCCCATTCTGCTCCCATGGGTACCCGAAACAGGCAGTCGAGGGACAGAGCTCCTGTCGGACTGTCTCCAATGCCCTCCTCCCCCTGGCGCTGGGGCCAGGCCAGCAGGAAGGACGGGCCTGTGATCCAAGCACTGGAGAGAGGCTCTGGAGAGCTGGGTTCTAATCCTGACTCTGCCACAGCCTCCTGTGTGACCTTGGGCAAGTCGCTTAGTGGCTCTGTGCCCCTGGTGCCCCGATACCACAGTGCTGGGCCTGGCAGCAGAAACCTGAGAGAGTTCTGAAAGGCGGCCAACTTTGGCCTCAATTTGCAGCTACCAGGCACAGAGCGAGCAGGGACTGTGTTACTGCCCCATCCTAGATTGCTGGCGCCCCTCAATCACAACCTGCAGCCCCCTATCCCAGCCCCGGGCTCCCCCCGGCTCTGCCGGCGCCCCTCAATCCCGACCCGCAGCCCCCTAACCCAGCCCCGGGCTCCCCCCGGCTCTGCCGGCGCCCCTCAATCCCGACCCACAAAATCTGTTGGCGCTCTCAGGAGGGGGGTACTGAACCAACCTGTCCAGCCGGTTGTTCTTGCCCCTCATCACACACACACACACTCTGCACTTTGCACCCTGGCCACAGGCCATGCAGCTGTCTCCTAAGGCCAGTGCCAGTGGGCGGCCGGCAGAGACTGCAGCTCCCAGCATTCAGTGCCTCACTGGGCCGTATTGCATGCTGGAGCGTGGGCTGCACCGGGGCATTAAAGTCGAGGCGATTTGGTTCCGTCCGTGCCCATCAGGTTCAGCTCTCACTTCCCCGGCTCCGGGCTGCCCGCTTTTCCGGGTGTCCCTGCCTGCAGTTTCTGTCTCTTCCTGCTGGGCCGGGGGCTGGGCACCTGGGGAAGGAAAGTGGCCGAGATCAGACCAGCTCGTCTCACTGTCTGGGTCCTGTTGATACAAGAGCAGCCCCCAGCAGAGAGGGCGGCTAAGACTGATACGTGCCCAGGCCCCTGTTGGGACCAATGGGGCCAGGACTGGAAGCAAAGGGATCCGTGTAGGGCATGAGGAACCCCGATGGCTGGCACCAGGCCTGGCCCTGCCCCCTCCTCACACAAACAACTGGCACAATGAACACCCTGCTCAGTGCTGTTTGCAGATCTCGACCCATACACAGGATAACCCCCTGCGCCATCCCTCGGGCCCGCCCGGTGCCGGGGGCCTGGCGCGCACACCCCTTACCTCCGGCGGACGTGCCCGTTTGCTGGCTGGGAAGAAATCGCCCAGCTTCCGCTGCCTCCTGCCCTCCCGGGGCACTTGCTGCTTGGGCTGGGCCTCCTTGGGCTTGGGCTGGGCCTCATGCCACCGCTGCAGCCGCCGGCACACCCGCGACTCACTGGAAAGAGAGCTCGGGTCAACGTGGGGGGGGGCAGGGCCTGGAGGGGATCTGGGCCAGGGGGGCACCACAGCAAGAGGAACGGAAACCAAAGGGGGTTGAGGAGAACCCCCTAAGTGTGGCCCTCCTCGCCCGCCCTGTGCCAGGATCTCAGCAGAAGTGGCTCAGCGCCAGGCCTGCTCCCAGAGCTCCCTGATACAGGGGGTCTGGCTTGAATGGGCTTCCCGAGCTCTGGGTCCGCTGTCCCTCAAGGGCGCTGCAGTAGATCTGCTCCATCGACAAGGCCGTGTCCAGCCTCTCCAGGGCTCCGAGAGTCACCCTGGGACTGGGGCCAAGCGAAACAGGCAATTCCTTGGAGCCCAGCTCGGACCCAGGTCAGGCGCTGGAGACTTGCATGGGGCACTCGAGGCCCTGGCGCTCTGAGTGTCGATCCCAAAGGGGGCGGGGGAGTCTGCTGGTGCCACACAGCGAGCTCCATGTTGGTGCGAAAGGTGCCGGACTGGGAGCACTGGAGACGTGCCCCCTGTCTACACACCGCCCCGCCTCCCCCCATCCCGCCCTGGACATCCCTCCTGTGGGCGGGAGAAAGGGGGTGAGTCTCCAAGGCCTATTTAGCTGCTGGCTTCAGGACTGAGGCTGCCAGCTGTGGGGTCAGATTGGGGGCAGCCACACAATGAATTGAGACCCCCCCCAAACTCATCACACACAGGACTCCTCCCCATGCTAGGTCATCCCGCCTGCCCCCCATCCAGACAGTGCAACACTGACTTCATGTGCTTCTCGCGGGCGAGGAACTGCACCAGCCCCTCCGGGTCGGGGTCATGCCACTCCAGCGTTATCTGGCCCGGGTCGGCCACCTCCGGCTGCAGGAAGAGCCTGCGAGCTCCCTCCAGGTCCCAGTTGGTGGGCAGCGGGTGCTTCTGCAACAGCAGCAGCTTACAAGCCAGCGGTGCCCTGTGCCCCCAAAGGATCCCAAAGCACTTTGGAGCCCACACCCAGGAACGGCTGTACCCACCGCTGCAATGCACCCACCTCTGGGGAGGGACCAGCAGCTGGTTACCAGTGCATAGCTACACCACAGCCCGGGTTGGGGCCGGGAGTGAAGCAGAACCCTGCATCCACAGTTACCGGATCTAGGACACCAGGGTTCACGCCCCAGGGTCTTTAACGCCCATGGGGTCGATGGGCAGGGGCCTCGGTGTCGTGTCTCATTCAAAGGGCCGCACAACTGCACCAGGGAGCACAGGCCGGCAGGGGGGGTCACTGCTGTTCCCCCCCCAAGGGGTGAGGGGTTTGTTCCCTCCAACCAGCCCTGCTCCTTTGCCCACTTCTTGGGCATCCCCACTACCTGGCTCTCGCTGGCAGTCACGCCCCTCCTGGCCCTTCCCACCGACAGCGCGGCTTTACGGCAAACCCAGCCCACTCCCCGGCTTGGGCAGCACACGGCTTGGCTGCTCATGCCCAGGCCGAGGCCTCCGGTACCTGCGGGTCGATGTTCTGGAGAACCTGCTCGATGGTCCCGTGTTGCTGCAGCAGCCTGAGGGCCTTCTTGGGGCCCAGCCGCCAGATCTTCCCACAGTAATCACAGCCCAGCAAGATGCACAGGTCCACGAACTGCTCCGGGACAGGCCCGGCCCGAGGAGAGGGGGAAGAAGACAACCATCACCAGAGGGGTTAGCTGGGTGGCCGCCTGCTCCGGCCCTGACCACCCCTCCCACACCCTGGTGAGGCTGGCGGACCAGGGGCCAGCTCATGCCACAAGTCTCAACCGAACCCTGACAAATACGTGGCTGGCATAGCCTGGCCCGCCTGTGGGTTAGTATTGTTCAAACAGGTGTCAGCATTGGAAGACTGTGTTTAGCCTGTATGGAATGGTGGTGAGCTGCTGCCGGCGTTAATCTGACGTATCACGTCCGTATCCCCTCGTGCAAGGGACTATCGGAGCGGTTGGACAGTGAGCCTCTGTGACCCTGTCACTCGCCAGGCAGGAGAGAGACATTAACCAGTGTGAAGTGTTGGCTCCAGCAGGTGTTAGGTCCTGCCCACAGGGAAGGTCCATCAACATCTGCTGTGCTCCCCTTCCTCCACCCCACCCCTGCTGAGTCATGCACGTGGTTTCCTCCCATCAGCTGAGTTTGTGACTCAGAGCACATGGCGGGAGGGGGATAAAACCCCCAGACAGAAGGAAATGATTCTCTCTACTCTGCTTGGACTCTGGAGGGGCAGGTTTCTAGGCAGAAGCAAGAGATCCCCAGTGCTCAGCCTGGGTCAGCCCTAAAGGACGTTTGGAGCTTGCGTGTGACAGATGCTTCTATTCCCTTTTGAAACTTGAGACTGTAACTCGGGTGTGTATCTATGGTTCCCTGCTTAACCTTGTCAATAACTCTCCTGTTTCCTTTTCCTGGTTAATAAAGCTTTAGACAGTTTATTATAGGACTGGCTACAAGCGTGGGCTTTGGTGTGAGAGCTAAGGTGCAACTGACCTGGGGTGAGTGACGGGTCCTTTGGGTCAGGGAGTAACCTGACTATTGCCGTATCCTTGGGGTAAGGGCCCAGCTATCACACAGGCAGCTCCCCTGGATGGCAGGACAGATGGGGGAGCCCACGGGGCCTGGCTGTGACGCCCAGGTTAGGCTGTTGTAGGGCCTGAGGAGCTCACACCTGGTAACTGGTTGGTGAAATCGAATACAGAGCTCACAGCCAATGGGGGGTTGGTGCCGGGTTCCCAGCACTCTGCCCTGAGGCTGGCATGCACGCCCTGGGGTCACGGCAGGCAGCGTTACACTCCTCACCAGCACGGTCCCTCCCCGGCCCAGCATAGCCTCACCTGTTCAACATGCACCAGACTGACGGGCAGCCCAAGGGAACGATGAGACAATCCTGCTGGCCAGCGTCGTCTCCCTCTTCCCTTGGGCTGCCCGTCGGTCTGTCTGCATCCACCCGCTGCCTCCTGTCCTCGGATTCTCAGCTCTGGGCGGGGCCTGTCTCTTTGTTCTGTGTCCGGGCAGCACCGAGCGCAGGGGGTTCTGCTCCACCGCGGGGGCCCCACGGTGGTACCACCACACAACAAAACCCATCAATCCATCCCCACCTGCTCCTGAGTCATCCCCAGCTTCTGCAGAATGGCAGGCAAGGAAAACTCTTCCACTTCACTGCAAGAGACAGAGGGCAGCGTGAGGCTGGGGCACCCTCCCCCGCCAAGCCCCCATTCCTGTCCGCCTTACCCTATGGCACCCCTCAGAGCCGCGCAGCCATCCCCTGCGGCACAAACCTGGCGTGGCCAGACAGTGGGAGCCCAAGGCCATAACCTGAGTGCAGGCTCCAGCCTCCCGTCTACACCTGTCCAGCCCCCAGCACCTCCCCTCTGCTGGGTGGGCACCTTTCCGGCTCCCCCACCACCCACTCCTCACTTCCTCTTCCACAGATTCCGAGATTCTCAGGCCAGAAGGGACCGCTGTGATCATCCAGTCTGACCCCATGTGTAACACAGGCCAGAGCCCTCCCCCCAAACAACTCCTGTTTGACCCAGAGCAGATCTCTTAGATTTAAAAACGGCCAGTGAGAGAGAATCCACCATAGCCTTGGGATGTTGCTCCGGGGTTAATGGTTTTAACCCTCACTGTTAAAAATATGCCCCTTATTTCCAGTCTGAATTTGTCTAGTTTCAACCTCCAGCCATTGGATCATGTTAGACTTTAGTCTGCTGAACTGACAAACCTTCTGTCAAATCTCTGTTCCCACGGAGGTACTTATAGACTGTGATCAAGTCACCCCTTCACCTGCTCTTTGGTAAGGTAAATAGATGGAGCTCCTGGAATCTCTCTCTATAAAATGTTTTCTAATTCTTTAATCATTCTCATGCCTCTTCTCTTAACCCTCTGCAATTTATCACCATCCTTTTCAAATTGTGGGCACCAGAACTGGGCCCAGGATCCCAGCAGCCCTCGCACCAGGGCCACATACAGAGGTGAAATAACCTCTTTGCTCCTCCTGGAGATTCCCGTGTATACCTCCCAGGATCGCATTCGCCCTTTTGGCCACAGTGTCGCACTGGGAGCTCACGTTCAGCTGGTTATCCACCACGACCCACAAATCTTTTCCAGAGTCGCTGCTTCCCAGGATAGGGTCCCCCATCCAGTAAGTATGGCCGACAGACTTTGGTCCCAGATGTATGACTTTACATCTGGTCGTATTGTTGTTTGCTTGTGCCCAGCTTACCAAGCAATCCAGATCGCTCTGTGTCAATGACCAGTTCTCTTTGTTATTTCCCACTCCCCCAATCATTGTGTCATCTGCAAACTTTGTCAGTGATGGTTTTATCGTTTCCTCCAGGTCACTGATAAACATGTTAAATAGTGTAGGGCCAAGAACCGATCCCTGTGCGTTCTTACTACGAACACCGGCTCAGTGGGGATTCCCTGGTTTCAGTTACATTTTAAGACCTATCACTTGGCTAGTTTATAATCTGTGGGCCAGGTTAATTTTATATTGTTCTAGTTTCTTCATCAAAACGACATGCAGGACGGAAACGCCTTCCAGGAGTCTAAGTCCGTTATGCCAACGCTATCAGCGTTATCAGCCAGACTTGTCATCTCGTCAGAAAAGAGACTGAGTGAGTTTGACAGGGTCTATTTTCCGCAAACCCATGCGGATTGGCATTACTGAGATCACCCTCTCGTTCTTTATTAACTGAGTCCCCTCTCAGCTGCTCCGTTACCTTGCCCAGGATCGACGTCAGGCTGACAGCCTATAATTACCCTGGTCACCCTGTTTATCCCTTTAAAATCCTGGCACATGAGCTTTATGCCAGGCCTCTGGAACTTCCCCGGGGTTCCCAGGCACCAGCAGCTCCTGGATCCCCCTCTCTCCTCTACCATGTCCCCCAGCAGGGCTCAGACCCGCCAAGGGCTCAGTGTGGCCAAGACCGCTGCCACTCACCAGCTTTTCTTGGCGCTCAGGTGGCGGATCAGGCGGAGGCTCCCGAAAGGCAGCGCGTCCATGTCCTCCGTGGCCGTGCACCAAACCTTGCCAGACTTCACCAGAGCTGCACAGGTGGCTTCTGCCTCAGCCGGAGCCTGCGCACAGGTACAGAGAGCGGCTCTGCTTGCATCCCCGTGGGGACAGCGCCCTCCTTGGGCCATCCCCCAAACGGGACCTGCCAGCGGCACATGGCCCCTCCTCCCCGGTCCCCGCTCAGACCAGCTTTCACTGCTTCCTTTACATCACAGCAACTGGCTTGCTTCTGTCAAGGGTCCATGTCCCTCCCAGAGCACTTTGTGTAGGCCCTAGATAAACAATCCCCGTCTCCACCAGCGATACCCTGCGGCTCTGTCACACTCGGCCATGGACCCTCTGGCCAGCAGAGCCACCTGGGCCACCCCTGAAGAGCAAGAAACTGCAGCCAAAGCAACCGGCTTCGCCCAAGCACAGGGCCTCTCCCCTTCTCCTGGGGAGCCCAGACAGCTGCCCCAGTGACCCACGGGCTGGCCCCTCTGCCACAGGATCCGACCCCATGCTGTCCCACTCCCGGTTACCTGCACACATGGCACACCCAGGTAGCTCAGCAGGGTCTCACAATCCTGCTTCAGGGGCCGCTGCAGGTTTTCAGCCAGGCGGGACTCTGTAACCAGCAGAGGAATGTGGGTCAGGGGTTCCTGATGCAGCAGGGGTCAGGGGAATGTGGGTCAGGGGTTCCTGATGCAGCAGGGACCCCCGTTCCCAGTTACAGTGCCCCCTGCTGTTGCATACAGGCGCTGCATGTTCAAGCTGGACCCCAGGCCTGGACAGCGAAGGCCCTGAAACTAGGCTTGCCACCCGGATAGGGGCCACTGACTGCCACTGCGAGAGCCCAGGGAGCTCTCTGGAAGGCAGGGGAGGGCCCTGTTGGGGCAGGGCAGATGAGGCGAGCCACGGGCCCCCAGCTGCTTTGCAATGTGGCACAGCAGAATTCCACAGGCTTGGGCATTTACCTGCAGCGTCTCTCCTAGCCCTGGCAGCCTCTGCCCGCCTGGCCAACTGCAAGGAAAGGAATCTGTTACAACGATCTGCGCGCAGAGACGTCCTATCCCCTTCTCACCCCAGGCCCGGCATCATCCTCCCACCTGGGACAGAGAACATCGGCATAGCCCCCCCAGCCCCTGTCCCAATTGCTGCAGCGCCCCCCTGTGGCTGGGGCCGAGAATGATCAGCTGTGTATCCCCACCCCCGCCCCTACCCCATTGCTGCATGTTCTGTCCCCTCTGCCGTGTTCAGGGATCACAGTGCTCACAAGAGCTCGGCCCTACAATACTGCACCTGGGGCTACTCCGGCATGTAAGTGACCTAACAACAAGAGCTCCCCGCCTGGACTCTCTACCCGGGAAGCTCAGCTCTTAAAGGCACAGCCCACCCTGCGCCATTAACAAACGTCCCAGAACGCCTCTGATACCAACCAGTGGCTGTTTGAGGTCAGGGGGCCGCCCGTCAAACACAAACACCGGTTTGATGCCATTTTCCAGGAGATGCAGCGTCCGGTAAAACAGCCCCTGCAAGTGACTGAGACCAAAAGCCGGGCAGCCTGCGGCTTGCATCACGACGCGTGCGCCAGGCGGAACGGAGAGCCCGGCAGCGGGAGCCGCTCCGACAGAACGGGGGAAGCCCATCTGGCGTCACACACCCGCACAGGTGCAGGCCGGGACAATATGGCTGCCCAGCTTCAATGTGAGGGTGTCAGCACCCTTATCCCCACGCACGGAGGAACAGGCAGGGGATGGGGGCTGCTCAGAGCCACCCAGGAAGTCTGTGGCAGGGCTGAGGGCAGGCTCCAGGGGCTCCTGTCTCCGAATCCTGCACACAAGCCATTAGGCCATTGAACTGTCCTCCGCTGGGCCCCCGGCACGGCACGGCACCGCGTGAGTGAGCTCCCAAGGCGACCCCCACTGGCCAGGCACTGGGTGTGTGACACCACGGAGCTGGTGCTGCCTAGGGGCTCTGGGAGCAGGGAGCAGCCCTGGGGAAGCCGGGCACTGCTGGGGTACGGGCCACTCACCTGATGTTCTCCCCGTTGCGGTTGAAGATCTTCGGCATGGCCGTGCGGAACTGGTAAATGGCAATGGATGCGTCCAGGGCTATGACGCGGTCTGGGAAGCCCAAGGCAACAGCCAGGTTATTCCCCCAGGAACGGGCATAACCTCCGCCCCATCCTGTCCTAAAGGGCTGGCTGCTCTGGAACTGCCTGCCTGGGGACTCTCACTCCTCATCCTCCATGCCACCCCCCAAGGCTGCTTCCCCATTCACCCCTCTCCCAATTCCCTGGGGTGTCCCCAGCCGCTACCCCCACCATTCCCAGGCGATCTCAGCCTCTCCCACCCTCCTCTTCGCTCTGAATCACCACCTGCCCCCTGGCCCCTGCCTGCTTGTGCGGTCCCCTCCCGCCGGGGGGCAGCAGGAGGAGCCGTGCCCCAGGCTGGGGAAGAGCTGGGGGGTGCTCACCTCGATACTGTTGCAGAGGGAACGAGCTCACAGCCTCCGCAGCCTCCTCCTTAATCACATCTGCCAACCTGACGATGCCCATGGGCACGATCCGGGAATCCGTGCAGGGGCTGGGCACGGAAGGGGGGGCCACTGGGGGGGACGGATAAAGAGTGTCCCCCGGGCTGGGCACGGAGAAGCAGGGGGCAGACACTCCCCAGAACAGGGGACACACACCGGGCAGGCTCCAGGCACGCAGCGGAGCTCAGAGCAGGGACCAGACCGAGGGGCAGCGCGGCCCGGGCCCAGAGCCGGGGCTGCGCGCGGGGAACCACGGGCAGCGGCAGCCGCCGGGCTGGGAGTTCGCGTCCGAGCCGGGCCGGGAGGTGCGGGGCCGGAGCGCAGGGGGGGCCGGGCCGCGCCGGAAGGAAGGAGCGGGGCGGGGCAGCAGCCCGGGCGGGGAGGGAGCTGGGGCAGCCGCAGGTCGGACCGTGGGCAGACAGATCCCAGCAGCAAGACGCGCAGGGATGGGCGGGGGGAGGCTACCCGGGAGCAAAGAGGCTTTTCCAGCTCTGATTGCCCGGGCGAGCCTAATGCTGAGGGGTGCTTGATGCCCCCCGAGGGAGGGACTGGCCCATGGGGACCCCGAGGCAGCAGACGCTCAGTGCCCGAGGAGTGGCCTGGCCCATGCGGACGGTGATGCCCAGGGGGTACCTGGCGTGTGGGAGTCTTGTCTCTGGCGGGCAGGGGTCAGGTCCGTGTCTGCCCCCCAGGCCCGGCTCTCTCTGCAGGTTGCAATCACCTGACCCCTCTGCGCGGCTCCTGGCCCACTGGACACTCAGAGCTGCTGCTCCCCAGCATCCCAGTCCCAGATCAGGCTCTGGGTGAGGCCGAGCGCGGAGATATGGATATAGCGACACCAGTCAACGTTCATGTCACACGGTTCCCAGGTGCAGGTGACCCCAAGCAGAAGTGCTGGAAACCAATCGTCACAGACAAAATCCAACCACAAAGCACCTTCTAAACCCTAGGCTGGCTGAGCAGATACCTTCTTACCTTCTGGAGCGACGCTCACCCGAAGTCTTCCCGGTATGGAACAGCCAGGCCTGGTTGTGATTGTCCATCTGTGGACAAGGCGCAGCTGGCAGCTTGCCTCCTTGGTGACGCATCCCAGGTGTCTCTTCACCTGGAGTTAGGCCCTCCAATCCATTGTTTGAATGACACTGCCTAACCCGTGGGTTTTCCTGTGTTTTCCTTTCCTGTTGATTTTCCAAACCCTTGACCAGCATGTGGCTCAAGCTGCAGATGGGCCTCCGTTGTGAGACAGTTGATGCGGAGAGAGACAAGTCCCTTCCCTCCTGCTGCCCGGAGCATGTTTCTCACAGTCTGGTGACCTCTGCAACTCACAGACCTTAGGAATACAGTGTGCAGTCTAGCTCCCTAGCTCCTGAAATATCATCCTACCTACATCTTGCAATGATCATAACGACCAGTGTATTGCTGACTATTGGTAGAGACTTCATATGCCACCCTTTGACACAGTATTATGCATATAGCTGACCCAGAGGATCCCTGTGAACTCTTACGCAGTCTTTATGCCCTCTGCCTGTTCCTGGGTCAGAGTAACCCTGAGACTGTGGCCACACAGTGCCAGGGGAGGGGAGGTGCAGCATGGCTCATAAGGACCCTCAGGCTAGGGGCACTCAGTATCCAGGAAGGGGTGGCATGGCACGGCCCATGGGGACCCCAAGGCTGCAAACACTCAGTGCCTCGTGAGGGGTGGCACGGCCTGGCCCACGGGGACCCCGAGGCTGGGGGTGCTCAGTGCCAGGTGAGGGGTGGCACGGCCTGGCCCATGAGGATCCCGAGGCTGGGGGCGCTCAGTGCCCGGTGAGGGGTGATGTGGCCTGGCCCACAGGGACCCTGAGACTGGGGGCGCTCAGTGCCCGGGGAGGGGTGGCATGGCCTGGCCCAGGGGGACCCCGAGGCTGGGGGCGCTCAGGGCCCGGGGAGGGGTGGCGCGGCCTGGCCCACGGAGACCCCGAGGCTGGGGGCGCTCAGGGCCCGGGGAGGGGTGGCGCGGCCTGGCCCAGGGGGACCCCGAGGCTGGGGGCGCTCAGTGCCCGGGGAGGGGTGGCGCGGCCTGGCCCACGGAGACCCCGAGGCTGGGGGCGCTCAGGGCCCGGGGAGGGGTGGCGCGGCCTGGCCCACGGGGACCCCGAGGCTGGGGGCGCTCAGGGCCCGGGGAGGGGTGGCGCGGCCTGGCCCAGGGGGACCCCGAGGCTGGGGGCGCTCAGTGCCCGGGGAGGGGTGGCACGGCTTGGCCCACGGGGATGGATTTACTAGCACAGTGTATAAGCAGCCGGGATGCCAAGTGCGGCTCAAGCCGGGTGAGGGGTTCCAGTCTCTGCCCGCTGAGCCCCAGGCGCTGGCCAGACAGCCCAGCGGGGCGGGGCAATGGGATACGTGCCCCGCTGCCCTGCACCCCGGGCCTGGCGGCTCCCTTCTGCGCCCAGGGCGAGTCCCAGCCACCGCGCCTCGTGCCCCGGCTGAGGCCGCCCTGGGTCCCTGCGCGCCGATGGGCTGCGATGACTCCTCCGTGCCAGCAGGGGGCGCCAAGGCAGCGCTGCCTGTGTCCGGGCACAGAGCGCGCCTCTCTCGGCTGACTCCCCGTGCGCCGCTCTAGCCCAGGCCTCGCTCGCCCGGGCGCCCGCCTGTTGCCGGAAGTGCGGTGGGGGGGGCCGGTGAGCGCGGAGCGGCCGGTGGCCGTGCGGGGGGGCACTCTGGGGGTCGGGGGAGGGGGCGCCGGCCCGGGAGCGCGTGCGGGGTGGGGGGCGCCCGGAGGGGAGGGGGCGCCGGCCCGGGAGCGTGTGCGGGGCGGGGGGGCGCCCAGAGGGGGGGGGCGCCGGCCCGGGAGCGCGTGCGGGGGGGGGGCGCCCGGAGGGGAGGGGGCGCCGGCCCAGAGCGCGTGCGGGGGGGGGCGCCCGGATGCGGGGGCGCGTGCGGGGCGGGGGGGGGGGGAAATGGCCGTGAAGTTCTCGCTCCCTAGGCGGGTTTCCCAGCTGGGGGCTCTGCCCTTGGCCCAGGCAGTTGCTTTGCTGTGTGAACCCCGCAGCCGTGTCCTGCCTGGGCAGCTGGAGCTGGGGCTCAGCCGCCGGAGCCGGGCACTGCTCAGCCGCTGGAGGGAGGCTGCCTGCCAGCCCCCAGTAACCTGCTCTCTCCTCTCTTCTCCCTTTCAGGCTGGATAAGGCCTCTGCCCCCATGGCCGGCCGGCCTGCTGAGTGGAGCACGGCTCTGCCCAGCCTGGGGCTGTGCGCCGTGTGTCTGTGCTCAGCTGTCCGCACCTTCCAGGTGAGAGCGATGGCCGCAGGGCTCAGGGCCGGGCGAATGTGCCCCTCTTACCGTGGACCTGCCCAGGTGGCAGCTGTGCGCGGCTGCTCCTGTTTTCCCACCTGACGGAGACAGGTCTTGTTAAAGGAAACTTTCAAGGCAGAGAACAAATCAGCACACTGCGCGCTAGTGCTGTGGCCTAGCGAAAGGCCATCTGCGTTGTCTCTCATTCGCTTCTGGCTGCCCCCATATTTACTGGACCAACAGATTTACAGGCCCAAGGATAACTTACCAGGTTTCTTCCCGCAGCAGTTGATTGAAAGTTAGTTTAATGCTTACAGGTGTCAAGAGTCTGAAAAGGAGGCCTGGGGCCCGAGTTCAGCGTGTTCTGGTCTACCAGATGAGTCCTTGGTTTCTTGGCAGCATACCTGCTTCACCAGCTCTAGATCATTTTTTGGCAGAAGCTGGGGGAAGGATGAGTCTGTTTGTGAGCGCAGGAGGCGGAGTCAGTGTCTCTGGGGCTGGGGAATCTGCTTTGGGGATGGGCAGTTGTCAGTGGAACAAAAGGGGTTTCACAGTCGCACTACAGGTAGGAAGGAACACAAGCAAAGACTTTTTTCTTAATGGGCCTTTGTGAGGAGCCATGTGTGAAGGAAGCAGCGGAGCTGTGAAGGGTGGACTCCCACTGACAGCGTGATGCAACTCTGGGTACCAGTCAGGGGGCATGGATCCTCAGGCTGTTACCCTGGGTGTCCAAGCTATTGCTTTGTGTCTGTTCTGCTGAGTTCCCTGTGATCGTGGCCTGCGGCTCATTGCTTGCCTCTGTGTGTTTGTAGATAAATCGCGGGGCTGCGGCAGGGTTTCTCCTCCAGGCCGTGGCAGCACTTGTGGGAGCAGTTGGCTTCTTCTGGACACCTCTTGGGCTTACTTTGGCAGCAGATTCCCAGTCTGGTACCTGGGTCTCCACCGTCATTGGCCTCCCTTTGCTGGCTTTTGGATTCCACTGGCTGAACGGCGACCACTCCACTGCCAACATCCTCCTGGGAGGAGCCCTGCTGCTGGCCACGGGCTTGGAGTACCTCACTGAAGAGGGCAGGGCCATGGTTGCCCAGTCTGTCACCGTGGTGGCCTCCATCACCATCCTCATCCTTTCCATTTTCACCATGAATTTCTATGGGATACTGGGCAGCCTGGTGTTGAGCACAGCTGGCCTCCTGTCTGGGGTGAAGGTGGAGAGATTGCTCGTGCTGAGGAAGGAAGCCGTCCTCAGCTGTCTCCTGGCAGCAGGAAATTTGGCATTTCAATGGGCCTTACGGACACAGCACCTTGACCTGGATTGATTTTATGTAGGACTGACCTGTGGCGTTCTCAGTGTGGTCTGTGGCTGCCGTCAGCCTTGGTGCAGAGGTTACAGCTTCCGGCATGCAATGTGACCCGGGCCCTTGGACTGTAGAGTTAACCTTCATGTTTACAGCCGCTGTCTGATCTACATTAGCGCACTGGGTGCAGCCCTCAGGCTCCAGGTAAGTCTCAGCAGCAGCTTGTCTCTTGGGTAACTGATTGATGCCGGATGAGAGGAGGATACCAAAGATCGGAGCTGTCATGTTTGCTGCTGTTCCTTGGAGTGGGCCCCGATAGGGCAGAAATACACCCAACCGCTGCTCCAAACTGCTTTGAATTTCTTCTTTGGTCTCTGGGGTGGGGAGAAGAGGCAGGGTGACTATGGAGCCCTCTTAGAAGCCGGCTGGTTCAATACCCCCAGCCTTCCAGGACGAGTTACAGGCCGCCCAGGGAAGAGGCTGGCTGTTCCATCATAGGCTCAAGGGAACTGGTGACAGAAAGGACCTGCCAGTCCGTTTCCCAGCAGACCATTGCATGATACTGTTGCAGACTGAGAGAGTGCCTGGTCCCGCGTCTCCAGCACTTCCCTTGGGAGCCCATTCCTTAAGCAGATGGAGCTCAGGGTATTGTTCCTGCCAACCAGTCTACATTTACTTTTGCTTAATTTCATTCCAGGCATTAACAGACTCTTTTGAATTTACGGGTATTAAATTCAGGGAACTCCAATTTTTTTCCCGCCCCAATATTAACTCAGCCCCTCTGCAAGAATAATGTTGTTATTGAGCCCTTGGCACTTTTCACCATCGAAGTGCTGTAAGTGCTACCAGTGGCCTGTAGTGTCTTGGATGTCCCATGATAACTTGCTGTCATATAGTTCTGATTGCCTTGGGAACTGCACCCTTGAATGTCCTGACTATTATGCTTGTAAAGCCTTGAGCACTAGCTGATTTTTTTTACATTTAATTTCCTCACTTGAAAGGGAAAATAAAAAAGTGAGACCAGATTAAATAAAGCGTTTTCCACCCGGTGCATGTGTTCCCATGGAGTTGCACGAGCACGCTGGCTGTCTCTGTCTGCCTGGGTGATTGCTGGAGGGAGTGCTGCATGGCTATAGCTCTCTGGATAGACACACACCACAAGTGTAACCCAAGAGTGCATCCTCATAAGGAAGCTGGCCTGGCCGCTGTGCTGTGTTCACTTGCTTCTCCTCCAACACTTGGCAAAGCCAAGTCCTCATTGGAGACCCTATAAGACGGTTTCAAACCAAGCTGCTGAAATCTTCTTGAATGTCCCTCTTAACACCCGGGAAAGCTCTCCCCCTGCTGCCTCCCCCCTCCCCTCCCCACACACACACTTAGGGCGATGTTTTGCTCTGCAGCTTGGCTTCTGTTTGCAGAGACCATCCATTCAGGGTGTGGAAGAGCAGCTGGGGGAACCCCCACAAGCATATTTGAGTTTCTTACCCGTATTAATGCTCTGACTGGGCCCCCAGTGTTTGGGTATCTATAGTTGTAGCTGATGCTGGTATAGAGGGTCTCACTTGTACCCTGGCATGGCTTTTCCCAGCCACTGGGATACTCACTGTGCAATGAGACCAGGGGTGGGCAAACTTTTGGCCTGAGGGCCACATCGGGATTGCGAAACGTTATGGAGGGCCGGATAGGAAAGGCTGTGCCTCCCCAAAGAGCCTGGCCCCCACCCCCATCTGCCCGCTCCCACTTCCCGCCCCCTGACTGCCCTCCTCAGAACCCCTGACCCATCCAACCCCCCAGCTCCTTGTCCCCTGACTGCCTCCTACCCCAACTGCTCCCCTGGGACCCCACACCCTATCCAGACCCCCCCGTCCCCTGACTGCCCCCCCCGACCCCTGTCCACACCCCTGTCCCCTGACAGGCCCCCCAGGACTCCCATGTCTATCCAACCCTGACTGCCCCCTGGGACCCTTGTACCAAACTGTCCTCCCAGGACCTCACCCCCTGTCCATCCCCCCCACTCCCTGGCCCCCCCGGGACCCCACTCCCATCCAACCCTCTCTGTCTCCTGACCGCCCCCCCGAACCTCTGTCCCATCCAACCTCCCCGTCACCTGACTGCCCCCGGGACCTCCTGCCCCTTATCCAACCCCAGCTCCGCCCTACCCTTATCATGCCGCTCAGAGCGGCAAGACAGGCTTATCTGAAAGCCTGGGAGGTGGGCGGGCGCAAGCCGTGCTAGCTGTGTGGCTGTGGGGGAGGGGGGACAGCAGGGGAGGAGCCAGGGGCAAGCCTCCCCAGCCAGGAGCTCAGGGGCCAGGCAGGACGGTCCCGCTGGTTGGATGTGGCCCGCGGGCCGTAGTTTGCCAACCCCTGAGTTAGATTCTTCCATAATAAGGTTTGAACTTTTCTGTCTTTCCTCATAAAGGTGGTTAAAACATCAACAGCAGCTCTTGGGTTTTTCTCTCAATAAAATTAAAGGAGTCAGGCAAATTCTGCACCACCCCTTGCTCCCCCCGGTCCCCAGTGCAGCTCTGCTGGTAGAACGCCTGACTTCTAGCACTCTCTGCTGACCTTATCTATCTGCATAAATCGTTACCCTGGTGACAGGCGTTCTGTATCCGGGCATGAGTCCCTACGTAGTTCAACCCGGCTGTAAGAGTTAGATGCCCTAGAAGTGACAGGACCCCTGCCCCGTTGCCAACCCCAAGAGCCTCACAGGCTCTGGCTGGCTCTTTGTTCTTCTTTGAGTGCTTACAGACATTCCACTCAGGTGTGTGCATGCCCAGTGCACCAAAGCCGGAGAAATTCGCCTAGCAGTACCCGTAGGGGTAGTGTTTGTGCCCCTTGCCTCATAGCCTGTCCCCTGGCTGTATAAGGGCAGCGTCGCCTTGACCCGCCTCAGTTCCTTCTCACCACCCCCAGCAAGAGGTCGGAGCACTGTGGGCATGGCCCTTTTATCTCTAAGTTGTTGAGAACTTTGTGTTCATAGTTAGTTGTTTAGTAGTTAGTACCTTAGGTGGGTTAGTTAGTTAGCTGGAATGTCTTCACCAGGATTTAAACGTTGCCCATCATGTGAGGGGCTATTCCAAATAGTGATCCCCACACGCAGTGTTTAATGTGCCTGGGAGAGGAACACAGTAAGGACAGGTTTCAGAGGAACAGCCGTGTTAGTCTGTATTCGCAAAAAGAAAAGGAGTACTTGTGGCACCTTAGAGACTAACCAATTTATTTGAGCATGAGCTTTCGTGAGCTACAGCTCACTTCATCAGATGTTAGGACAGTAAGGACAGATGCTCCATCTGTAAGTCCTTCAGGACAAGGATGCAGTTAGCAAGGCACTTGAGATGCGAGCAAGCCATGAGGCCCCCGTCAGCACTGGAGATGGTACCAGCTCCTCAGCTGTCGTGTGAGCCTCATCGTACCGATGTTCTGCGGCAGAACTTGGAGGCAGCCTCTAGGAGGGCTCCACCAAGGAAAAGGACCCATAAATCGGAACACAGCTGGCAGAGAGAGTCATTCTCTGCAGGGATCAATGATGGCTCCTTGGGTACCCGTGCAGGAGCTGGTCCTTCAACCCATTCTCTCGTACCAAGGCAACATTGAGAGGCTGTACAGTCAACTCCAGCACCATGCGTGAGTCCAGAACTGCCGTCTTCAGCACCAACAATGACCACGCCCGTGGCCTACTAGGCGACATCAGACCTATTATGCCTCTCAGTCCCAGACCCTCCAATCACCAATGAACCGTCAGCAACAATGACTTCATCAGTGATTAGGGCACTGACACCATCCTTGGTACCACCTGTACGCCTGGGTACCCTGTCTAGGCTGGTGTCTGACCAGTTCTTCGGCGATGACGACTTCGGTACAGACTGAGGCTTGAAGACGGGTGCCAACACCGGCCCTGGAGCCTCCTTGAGAGTCAGTACTGAGCGAGAACATGTTGCCCTTGCAACCCATAGGGCCCCTTATTGACCTAGGGCCCGTGCAGGCAGCATATTGGGCCTTGCATGAAGCTGGATGGTGGCTGGCTGGCTCTGCTGGGAGTTGATCCTCCATTACCCCAAATAACTTTGGGGTTCATCAGGGCTGAATTAGAATTCTTCCTCACCCTCCCTTTTGTCCCCCAGAGGCCGGTTTACAGCTTGGTCCAGACACACATCTGATACTGACATCATGGGATCAATACCAATCACACATTAGGCGTAGGGGCTCTTGGCACGCTACTCATTGGCCACCGATGCCTTACCCATATCCACGATGGCCTGGGAATCTGTGGAACGCTCCTTCTTCCTTCAGATTCCGATCTTCCACCCACTCTCGGGCAACCTCTACGCTTTCAATTCAACCTCCCAAGTCTCTCCTCCTCCCTGAACTGTTGACCCAACATCACGGCCAGGTTGTTCATCCAGCAGTAGGCAGTCTACCCCTTACCACGTGGGTGCTAGATGAGGAAGAGATGCAGTTAAAGAAGTTCTGCTTAGAGTAGGACATCTGGGGGGGGCCACCTGTTTTTGTCTAAGTGGAAGCAGTTTTCGGTTTGGGGGAACCTCAGAGGGAGTTCATCCTCTGTCAGCATGGATTCAGAACGTTCTGGACTATTGGTTGCAGTTGAAATCTTTGGGCCTGGCTCTTAGCTCTTCCAAAGTTCATTTGGCTATGATTTCAGCTTTCTACCCTCCTCTTTGGGGAAAGTTGCTAAATTCACATCCTATGGTAGGGAGGTTTCTGAAAGGCATTGTCTGTCATTTTCCACCAGTGAAGAAAATGGTGCCATTGTGGGACCTTAATACAGTGCTCGTGCCACCAATGAGTCTGTTTGAGTCAATAGTTAACATGCTCATTGGCTCTCCACACCCAGGAGTTGGCCTTCCCGGTAGCTATAACATCCACTAGACTAGTCAGGGAAGCCTTCATGGCAGCGGATCCCCCATACACCCACTTCTTCAAAGGCAAGGTAGCTTCAAGACCATAGCCAAAATTTCTGTCAAAAGCGATCTCTCGGATTCACCTTAATGAGGTTATTTACTTACCTGTATTTTTTCCCAAACCACACTTGGGCATAGAAGAACAACGCCTTCAGACCTTAGATGCGGGAAGGTGCTCGGCATTTTATCTGGAAAGGACTAACCCCTTTCGTTCATCACCTCTCCTCTTCGTATCTTACACTGAGCGGATGAAAGGACAATCGGTCTCCGCTACGTAGATAAGGACGTGTATTGCCACAGCTTCTGGAGCAGCTCAGATTACGCCCCCAAAGTCGTTACGGGCTCATTCGACGAGCGCTCGAGCAACTTCAGTAGCGTTTCTTAGAGATGTTTCCCCGAGTGGATGGCCGCAGGGCTGCAACTGGCCCTCAGCGCACACCTTTGCGAGACACTGTGCTATCACCACGGCTTCTCGGGCTGACGCACGCTTTGGAAAGGCAGTTCTGCAGTCTCTGTGTAAATCGACTCCGAGCCCTGGGAATACACGTCTGCAAGCACTCGAAGAGGAAAAGACTGTTACTCACCTGCGTTGGAGCTGTTCTTCGAGATGTGGCTGCAGACACGTATTCCACGGCCCACCCTGCACCCCCTCTGCATCGGAGGCTCCAGCCTGGGGTTTGGTGCAAAGGAACAGAGGGGTCATGGCAGCTCTGCCCTTCTAGAGCCGGGGAGGGGCGTGAGCACTGCCCATGCGTGCTGCTCGGCGGATTTCTCCAGCTTTGGTGCATGAGCGTGGGATACGTGCCTGCAGCCACACCTCGAAGAACAAGTTACCAGACAGGTAAGTAACCATCTGCTATTGTTGATTTGTGCCAAAAGAGTTAAAAGAGCAGGACCACGTGTGGGGTAGAATTTCTGCTGTCACTCGTATGTGGCTTGCAGGAGTGGGGTGGCTACGTTCGTCTCTGCCCATTCTGCTGGGGAGGAGCTGTGCAAAGCAGCCCTTGTAACACACGAGAGGAAGGAGTGTGGCAAAGTGCGGGTGGGAGCAGCAGCAGGAGCTGGGGAACCACTATCAGCAGAAAGTCCCTTGCAGCGCCCGTCCTAAGCCAGGGTACAGGGCACGTTTGGGGCGTGCTGGCAGACCTGGCTGCAGCGCTGTGCCTATGACAAGGCCAAGCCCAGCTGCCGGAGTTCAGTTCCCCTCCCCTCAATAGCTGGCTGAGCATGTGGGGGACACAGAGAGCAGGATGGTGGCAGGGGAGGCAAATGAGACCATGCTGCCTTCTATGCAAGGCTGGCTCTGGGAATGCCCTGCGCTCCATCCGCCAGCGGGCAGAACAGGACAGCTTGGTGACGCAGGCCTCCCACCTAGGCCAGTGGTTCACACCTGGGCAGGAGCAGCTGAACATCTCACCGGCCACCATGGAGTAAGTCAGGGGAAGAGGGGGGTCTTGTCCCGGCTGCATCTGCCACTGTGATGAGCCTCCGCGCAGGCAGAGATGCCAAGCCTGGAACGGAGCCCGAGCTCCCTCCAGGGGGCCTCTCCAGTTTATGAATGCAGCGCTCAGTTCCCTCTCTGGTGGCACTGAACCATCAAAGAGCAAATGGGTGAAAGCAGGAGCAGGGCAGAGCAGATCAAGGGGGGATGGGTGTGCGTATGCAGTTTTCCCCATGAGTGCAGTTCCCTGGCAGTGCAGACAGCTCCCTGATCAGCAAGAGGGGGCAGGGGCTGAATGCAGTGGGGCCCAGGGGGCAGGAGCGGCTGGTCACCTTCATCCCCCACCTGGGTCAACCGGACAGGCAGGCAAGCCGGTGTCACTGGGGTGGGTAGCTCTCCAGTCTGCGAGGCTGGGAGCTCTTTGCTGGACAGATGTTAACCCATGCAGCCCCTGGCGGGTGGGATGGGGACATCTCCAGGTTGCACGGGGGAAACTGAGGCACAGAGCAGGGTTGGGGCCCTGCCCCAGGCTGTGGAGTGGGTGTCAGGGCTGCGGGGGGAAACCAGGGTTTTCTGCCTGGGAGGCTTTATGGAGAAGGGGGCCCCACCCTCCTTTTTTACTGCACTGTGACCGCATGTGACTGCCCTGCTGGGAGGGGTGTGCCAGGTGCATTGGCTCCTCCCCAGGCTCTTCTCCAACGCACCAGGAAGCAGTTGGCAAGCTCCCTTGTGGGCACAGCAAGATCCTGGCCAAGGTAGAGGAACCCCCTCTTAGCTTTGCCGAACCTCCCCCTGCCCTGCTCAGTCAGCTGCCCCAGCCCTCCCCCCGCCCCCCTGTGATGCAGAAAGCAAACACTCTGGCTGGGGGGTACCAGCCTCTGCTGGAGCCCCGAGGGGGCCCCATTACATCCCAGCTCAGAGTCCCTGTATCAGAGAGCTGCGCCAGGCGAGGCCTGCTGGACCCTCTCCCCTGGCACTCCCCGCTTGGAGGACAGAGCAGCCCAGGCCCCGCTCGTCCCTGCTCCCATAGTGACTGCGTGAGGGCACGCCTGGGGCGACGGGGAGCTGAACAGGGGGCTCTCTCCCCAGCAGTCAGTGCTGGCCCCAGTGCTCCAGAGCAGGGCTAGGGGCCGGAGTCGCTGGAGGTGCCGAATTTCACACCACGCCCTCTCAGGGAGCTAACGATGCCTTCCCAAGGGGCAGAGGGCCCAGGGACTGAGTCTCTCCAGGGTCGGGCTGCGGTGTGCTGGGAAGGTTCCTGCCCTGGGGAGAGCTAGAGGCATTCACTGTCTGTGGGGTGGGCCCCCTGGGGCTGGAGCTGGCAGTGAGGGGGGTGTGGGGTTCCCCCAGCATACAGCAGCCTGGGCCCCAGCTGGGGAAACATGCTCCATTCCCTGCTTTCTCCTTCCCTCCGGCTGCAGCCCTGCTAGGTCTGCCTGCCCGTGGCCCAGCGGGACGGGTCCTGCCGGGGAATGGAGCCCCTGGGCCAGGCCTGGGCACTTATCACCCACGGCTGCTGGGGGACTTTGGGGTGGGGAAGACCACCCTGTTCCACCGCGTCCGGGCAGGGCGCTTCCTGCAGGGGGCCCCCGCCCCCGCCGAGCACCTGGCCATCTGCGAGAGGACCATGCAGCTCAGCCTCCCCCAAGCCCCCCGCCTGGCCCAGGTATGTGGCTGTGGGCCTGTCCCTCCCCCTCCCCCCAGGTCCGGGTGTGTCTGGGCCACACCAGCGAAACTCCTTGCAGCAGCACCATGGTAGCCGCCGGGCCCTGCCACGGGCACCCAGACTGTCCCGCTCTGGGGAGCGACGCCACAAAGGGGTTAATCAGCTGTCGGGAGTTGCTAGGCGACAGCATCCCACCCCCAGGTAGTGGCTCAGGGCTGGGCTTGTGTTGGCTGGGAGCCTTGGTGGTCCCCACTGGTGGGAGGGCTGGGCTGGCAGAGGGCCTGGAGTTGGTATCCTGGTATCCTGCCGGCGTCCTGAGGGAGATGAAACCAGCCGGCTGGGCAGTGCTGTCTGTGGCATGTCCCTGGCACGCCCACAAGCCAGGCGGTTTAGGCCCTGCAGCCCGAGACCTTTACCATCTAACCCAGCCGGCTTACAGACTCCAGCCACAGCGTTTGTCTAGCCAAGCTCATGTGGCAGTGAGTTCCACAGGTTGCCAGTGCCTTGCTCTCTGCTGTGTGCAGATCTCCCTGTGGGACACGGCCGGTGAGGAAAGGTTCCTCTCCCTGAGCAGCTGCTACTACCGGGGCACAGACGCTGTGCTGCTGGTGTACAGCGTCCAGAGCCAGCTCTCCTTCGACAGCCTCCCGCACTGGGTGTGCATGGCCCGGCAGCACTGCCCAGAAGGTAGGGGGCAGGGCAGGTGGGACGGTGTCCCTGGGCAACTCCCGCCGTGCGGGGACGGGGAGGGCCGAGGTTCCCATCACCCCTCCTCTGCACTGTCCCCTGACTCCGCTCCCTCCCAGACAGCGGGTTCCCCCGGCCCGCCAAGGGGGGCTGTTCGCGGCGCTGTCGGAGCAGCAGTGATCTGTATAACCTGTGTGCTCAAAAGGTCTGTTACGCTCCCCGCCCTTTTGTCTCCTCTCCCTCTTTGAATCCCTGCGAGGACGTGGCTTTCCCCCGCCCCCTCCCTCCTGGAAGGCTTGTGGGATGGATGGGCTGCCAGAGCAGCTGGAAGAGCTCCCCGTAGACAAGGGGTCTGGGACTCTGATAAGGCAGCGATCATGCCCCCAGTGCATGGACACCTGACGTAGTGATGCCACATGGGCTCTGGCCCATGGCAGGGATGCCCAGCAGGGCCCCATGCCCCCCACGGACCTGTTCTAGCCTCCCCACGCACTGTCCCTGCCCCGTGCACAAAGCCCCTCCCCCTCCCCATTCCGCTACCTGCGCCCCCCCCTCCCCTGCATGTAGCTTCCCTCTCCTGGAGGGAGCACCCATCCCATAGGCCTGAGTGCCTGTCCCGGGGTTGGGCCCCGCTGCCCGCCACCCTGAGGGCTGGCATCCAGCCTGTGCCACCCAGCTCTTTCCCAGGCTGGGCTCCAGTCATGCTCGTTAAGCCCTGGGCTCCAGGCCATCTCTCTCACGAGGTTCCCTGGCAGCTTTTCAAAGTGGCTGGAGACAGAGGGAGCCCGGAAAATGGTTAAAGAGAAACCAGCCGCCCTGCCGACATCATGCGTGTGCATCTGTACATGGGTGTGTGCGTGTGCGCATCTGACTGTTAATTAGCGATGCCCTGGCCAGAGCGCTGCTGTCTTCAGACACACATTTGTGACACTTTGCATGACAATGGTGTGTATTGTACGTGTCTCCCCTAAAGCTCTGCCGGTGACCCTCATTCCCGACCTGCAGTTCTTCTATCTTGGCCTGGGGTCCCACCCCCAGCTCTGCCGGTGCCCCTCAATGCTGGACCTCAGCCCTGTGCTCCCAGGCACCGACTTAAACCTTCTTTTTTCCAGGAGGGTGCCCCACCCCTGCTCTGCCTGGAGGCCCCTTCCCCAAGGCCCCACCCTTGCTTCACCTCTTCCCGCCCCGCTCCAGTGCCTCCCGCCTGCCAAGCAGCTGATTGGTGGGGCCCGCTGGGCAGCTGATCAGTGGGAGGCTGGTGGGTGCTAAGCACCCACTATTTTTTCCCCATGGCTGCTCTAGCCCCAGAGCACCCCCAGAGTCAGCGCCTGGGCTCCCCACGCACAGCTGTGCTGGGCTCCGGCGGGGAGCTGCAGCCGGGAGGGCAGAGCAGGCAGGAGAAGCCCTTCCAGAGAGCCCGTCTCGTCTCATCCCGGCTCTTGTCCAAGCCTGCCCCTTGAGGCAGAATCGCCAGGTGCTCACACGCTGCTGGCCCTGGCAACCACAGGCTCCGTTCAGGGCCGGGCCCCAGGGTGCTGTGCAGACATGTACCGAGACACGCCCTGCCCCGAAGAGCTGACAGGGAACACGGGCCACCGGCAGGGCGGGGCGTCCCACGGAGCTGCTCGGCTCTCCCGGTGGCAGGTGTCGTCTGGGATCAGTGGGGGACACGGGGCCAGTCCGTCCGTGAGCTGAGCCCCCCGGGCTCTCGAGCTCTGTACACAAGGGAGATGGCACAGATGCTGAGGCAGTGCCAAGGGACAGGGCAGTTCAGGGTGCGGACGCTGGTCTGAACTTGTGTCCAGGCCTCCCTGCCGTGCGCAGGGGTACAGGGCCCTGGCTGGGCCTCCCTGCATACAGCCGCGGCCCCCCGGTGCTGTACGCAGGTGCTGGCCCTGTCCTGAGCCCTTGCGTTTTCCCGTCTCTCTCTCCCCCATCACCCCATCCCATCTCTGCCTCCTGCAGCCCCCATCTTCCTGCTGGGGAACAAGACTGACCTGGAGCCGTGCCTGCCGGAGGACAAGGCTGAGAAGTTTTCTGTGGAGCACAGAATAGCTGGCAGGTTTAACGTGTCTGCCAAGACAGGTAGGGTGGGGCTGCCCCCCTTGCCTCATGCAGCTGGGGAGCTGGGCCCCCCAAATGGGCTCGGCACGGCTGGGAGGAGCTGGAGCCCTCTCCGAAACATGATGTGGCAGCTGGGCAGCTTCCCTGCCCCAGCCGTGTGGCCCACCCTGCCCACGGGGCAGGGAGTTCAGGCTCTCGCCCATTCAGTCCTTCTTCTCGGGGGGGCCCTGCCACTGATTTCAGTGGGAGTTAGCACCTTTGGGGAACAGGACTTCAGTGCCCATGGCCAGTGCTGTGCTGAGATTCCTCCCCAGCTGTTGAGTGGCTGTCAGACAGGAGCCACTGCCCTAGGGTTTCAGAGGAACAGCCGTGTTAGTCTGTATTCGCAAAAAGAAAAGGAGGACTTGTGGCACCTTAGAGACTAACCAATTTATTTGTGCATGAGCTTTCGTGAGCTACAGCTCACTTCATCAGATGTATACCTATGGAAACTGCAGCAGACTTTATATACACACAGAGAATATGAAACAATACCTCCTCCCACCCCACTGTCCTGCTGGTAATAGCTTATCTAAAGTGATCATCAGGTGGGCCCTAGGGTTGCCAACTTTCTAATAGCAGAAAACCGAACACCCTTGCCCCACCCCTTCCCTGAGGCCCCGCCCTCGCTCACTCCTTCCCCCCCTTCCTCTGTTGCTTGCTCTCCCCTACCCTCATTCACTCGCTCATTTTCATTGGACTGAGGCAGGAGGTTGGGGTGCCGGAGAGGGTGAGAGCTCCAGCTGGGGGTGCAGGCTCTGGGGTGAGGCTGGAAATGAGAAGTTCAAGGTGTGGGAGGGGGCTCAGGGCTGGGGGAGGGGTGTGGGCTCCCAGCGGGGGCTCAGGTGCGGGAGGGGGCTCAGGGCTGGGACACGGGAGGGTGTGCAGGTTGTGGGCTCTGGGAAGGAGTTTGGGTGCGGGAGGGGGCTCAGAGCAGGGGCAGGGGGTTGGGGTGCAGGAGGGGGTGTGGGGTGCAGGCTCATTGGGGTGCGGGAGGGAGTTTGGGTGCAGGAGGGGGCTCAGGGCTGGGGTTGGGGTGCAGGAGGGGGAGAGGGGTGTGGGCTCCAGGAGGGATTTTGGGTGCGGGAGGGGGCTCGGGGCAGGGGGTTGGGGTGCATGAGGGGGTGTGGGGTGCGGGCTCATTGGGGTGCGGGAGGGAGTTTGGGTGCAGGAGGGGGCTCAGGGCTGGGGTTGGGGTGCGGGAGGGGGAGAGGGGTGTGGGCTCCGGGAGGGATTTTGGGTGCGGGAGGGGGCTCGGGGCAGGGGGTTGGGGTCTGGGAGGGATGCGGGGTGCGGGCTGCTTGTGGTGCAGGAGGGGGTGCGGTCTCTGGGAGAGAGTTTGGGTGCAGGAGGGGGCTCAGGGCTGTGGTTGGGGTGCGGGAGGGGGGGGGGTGTGGGGGGGGGGGGGGGAGAGGGGTGTGGGCTCCGGGAGGGATTTTGGGTGCGGGAGGGAGCTCAGGGCTGGGGCAGGGGGTTGGGGTGCAGGAGGGGGTGTGGGGTGCGGGCTCATTTGGGTGCGGGAGGGAGTTTGGGTGCAGGAGGGGGCTCAGGGCTGGGGTTGGGGTGCGGGAGGGGGAGAGGGGTGTGGGCTCCGGGAGGGATTTTGGGTGCGGGAGGGGGCTCAGGGCTGGGGCAGGGGGTTGGGGTGCAGAAGTTGGTGAAGGGTGCGGGCCTCCGGGAGGGACTTTGGGTGCGGGTGCCCATGTATGGCTCTCAGACACACACAGCCCTTGTGCACACCCAGCCCTCGTGTACACGCTCATGTGTAGAGCCTTCCTTCTCACGCACAGCCCTAGACACATGCATGTGCACTGAACCCCCGTTACGCACAGACACGCACACACACGCTCTGCAGGAGAAGCGGCTCCTCTTCCTTTTCCCCGGGGGGGACTCCTGGTGCTGCTGCCCGTGGCTGAGCCGTGGCCGGTCTCGCCCCTGCAGGGGAGAACGTGGACAGGTGCGTGCAGGACGTGGTGCGGCTGCTCGTCCTCGAGAGCGACGCAGGGTGCAGCAGGCTCACGGTGCCGCTGCAGGAGGCCGGCTCCTCCAGCCCGTGCGCGTGCTGAGAGCCCTGGGGATGCCTGGCAACACCGCGCTCCGCGTCAGGAAGCTGCTGGGGTCCCGGCCTGAGCCCCGAAAGCCACTGTGTCACCACCAGCCACTGCTCCTGCCGGGCGTGGAGCCACCCCTGGAGAGACCCTCCTGCCCTGTTCCCGGAACGTGCTGCCGGATAATCCCTGCTGTGGGGGGTGAGCAGCCTCGTGCCATCCAGGCATCTTTGTCCCCTGGAAGGGGAGGCTGGACCCCAGGGGCTGGGGCTGAGCCCCACGTCTGTCCCCGCGTCTGCGGTTTGTCCTCTCGCTGCTCACCAGCCTGTAGGGGAGGAGAGCCTCCCACAGGCCCAGCACATGGGCTGCGCCTGGTCGCTGGGAGACCCACGCGCACACACTAGGCCCAGCAGGAGGCCGTGTCAGCGGTTATGGGGGCTCTTCCGCCCTCTGGGCCGGCAGCGAATCAATGCCCCCACCCAGTGCTGGAGGGCGCTCTGCGTCCTGTTTGAGAGAGGGTGTGAAAAGCAGCCCCTGCTCCCTAGTGCTCATTGCAAATCCCATTGTTCTCCATGCTGGGTGGTGGGGTAACCTACTGTCCTGTGCCCAGGCCAGATGCCATGTCAAGCACCTGGGCTGGGCTGGGCTCTGGGAGAAGCGAACAAGGAGAAGGGGGCTGCATAGCAGGTGACTTCTTTGCATCAGCCTTCACTGGGGCAGGGGGTGGTGGGAACCGGTCCCAGACTCGCTCTTGTCAGGCGCTGCAGAGAAGGGAGGAGGGATTGAGGTGACAGGGGGGTTGCTGGAACAAGCTGCCAAGGCGCTGGCAGTCCCCAGCACCAGGTGGGATAAGCCACCAGTAGTACTGTGTGATCCACACCAGAGGGCGTGGTCCCTGGGACCTCTGGTTGCACCTGCCGTAAGAAAGGTGTTGCCCATGATCCGGGGAGTCAGCGCGAGTCTCATCGCAAAGCTCGGGAAACTATCTGAAATGCTCCATCGGGTAAAATCTTGGCCCCATGGAAGTCAATGGCATGTTCCTGTTGGCTTCCCTGGAACTAGGAGTTCACCCATAGATCTTCAAGGCTAGAAGGGAGCCTGAGCCTGACCTCCTCAGCAGGCCAGACTGGATCTCCCCCAGCTCCGCCTGTTCTGAGCCCAGCTGCTTGTGTCTGGCTGAGGCAGCTCCTCCAGAAAAGCATCCCATGTTGATGTGAAGATGGCAGAGATGGACAATCCACCACTTGGTGTCTGTTTGTTGCAATGGTTAACTGCCCTGCCTGTTAAAAATGTGTCATCTTTCTAACTTCCATTTGTCTGGCTTTAACTTCCAGCCCCGGTCTCTTGTTCTGTCTTTCTTTGCTAAATCAGAGATTCCGCTTAGGGCTGGTAGCTTCTCCCTGTATTGATCCCTCTCTACGGTACTGAGTGCCACCCATCTTGCACTGTCTCGAGTCATCGCTGTAGCTCTCTCCTGCACCCTCACCAAGTTTCAACTTCCTTTGTAAAACGTAGGCCCCGTGTTCCAGTCTTAGCACGATCAACAAAAAGCCAGGGACGAGCCTGCCCGGGCTCTGCAAGGGAAAGTCACGCCTCTCCGATCTGCTGGCATTCTTTGAGCATGTCAGCACATGGCGGAGAAAGGAGACCCAGGTGATACTTGGTCACCTAACCCTGCTGGTTCCCAAGCAGCCCTTCTGCTGGTGGAGAAACACTGGGCTGGAGGCTGTGTTTCCTAGCCGCTCTGTGTTCTTGGGGAACCAGGCGCAGCACCCAGCCTGTCTGACTCACGAAAGACATTCCTCCACCCCCCAGCCTCTGCTTGAACCAAAGCTGCATCAGAAGAAAGACTTACAAAAAGCAATGAAAAGGCCGTGGGAGACCCACCTAAACCCCTGGGAGAAGGGTGACAGGATTAAGGAAACTCCCGTAGGCTCATTTGCATCAAAGATGGGACAGGGAGGCATCTCCATTAGCATACAGACTGGAGAACAGAGACTCTGAGGCAAGAACCGCAGGGAACTCTGGGACCAGAAAAGCAGGGCAGCACTGCATGATGGGGGATCTCTGCTCCAGATGTTAACAAACCCACGCCTGCACACACCCAGCTCAGCAGTTATCAGACCAATTCTAGTAATAAATCCTTGATTGGTATCCAAAATACTGAAGCTGCCTAACTGCATTGGGAGCTCCCTCGAAGGAACACTGCCCATAGCCAGGGATGATCAGCTCCCCTGATCTAGCCTGAACAAAACAACCTCCCTTGTTTACACGGCAACAAATCTAGTGTTCTCCCTTGAACCATTGTCGTTTCTCTACAAAAACCGCTGTCCACGCTCAAGTAAGTGCTCTGATGCCTGGATCCACAATCTGCGTCAGTCCCACTGGGACTTCATCTTCTCCTGACTGATCATGCTGGGGGCTGTGCCTGTCTCCAGCTCTCTGGACCCTCAGCTACCACCATCACCTGGGACCGCCTGATCGAGTCCAGCTTCACGGAGTGGCAAGAACCCAGCTCGCTCTAGGTGCAGCCCCCTGACCCTGACTGGTGGGGTCAGTTAGAGGTTTCTAAACCTGACTTTTACAATTGTGTTTGTTAGATTTAATAGTATCCCTGTTTTGTTTGTGTGGCTCCCCATGGTTATTACCTGGCAATAAATAACTTTCATGGTTAAGTTTCAGAGTAACAGCCGTGTTAGTCTGTATTCGCAAAAAGAAAAGGAGTACTTGTGGCACCTTAGAGAAATAAATTGCTCATGCTCAAATAAATTGGTTAGTCTCTAAGGTGCCACAAGTACTCCTTTTCTTTTCATGGTTAAGCTGGTTGCTTCTCTCTCTCTCTCTCTCTCCCCCCCCCATCCCCCTCGTGGGTGTTTTTGGTTTCCTCATTTGCTCTGCAGCAGCGCTCCTCGTGCCTAAGCTACAGATCCCTGCAGCGCCCGACAATCCTGTGGGGTTTGCTCCTCCAGTGGGTTATGAGCAGAAGAACGGTAATGGGAAAGTGGGGATAGGGACGTGCTGAACCTGGGGCATAGGAGGGCAGCAGCTGGGGGGTGCTGCTCGGCCCAGTCTGCTGGGGCCAGGGGCATATCAGGGTGGCGGACTGAAAGTGCTGCTCGGCCCAGCCTGCTCCGGCGGGCTCTGTTCCGGTGCGGTGCCCGTGGCACGTGTGGGCGACCGCTTGGAAATGCTGCTCCCGGCCTGCTGAGTGCAGGGGCATATGAGGGGTCAGCTGGGGCGTGCTGATTAACCCTGCCCTCTCAGATGCGCCCTGTTAACGTGCCAGTGCTCATCTGATTCTGGGGCTGGAGGAACCCAGCCCTGGGAACCGAGGTCCGGCAGGACAGCTCCATTGGAAGGGGACTTGCAGCAGGGAGAAGCAGAGCGCCGTGTGAGAACACAAGTGACGCAAGCCGTACATGGACAGAAGTACAGACATCCCCCTGCCCCCAGAAGAGTAACCCGAATAAATGAGCGTACCCCAAAGTGACGGGCGAAGCTGGCCAGAGCTGTGGCTGGCGATGCAGCCTGAGTCTGCGACGGTCTTTGGGGTGACAAAGGTACACTGCAGATGCACCTGCTGGTATGAACCTAGCCCTGCACTGCAGCAGGCTTTCCTGAGGGGTGGGGTAACGAGGACAAAACACGACAGGCCGGGAGACTGAGGCCAGACAAGAAACATCAGTGGCCCTCCAAGACCAGACTCTTGGTTCCAAGGCACCCCCGTGGCCTGTTCCCCCCTTCTCAGAAGCAGCCCTGCTTCTCTCCTTTCTGTGCCCTGGCCCAGTTTGCTTCCTGCTGCAGCAGGACAGGGGGAGCAACTTTCCTCCTCGCTGGAACCCCTGAGAAGCTGCTGGTGAGCCGGGAGTGAGGAGCCAGGTGTTGGGGCGGAGAAAGGACCGTCCTGCTCCTGGTGGCATGGGGGAAGGCGGCTGGTTCCAAACCTCCACCGCAGAGAGCCATTTCCACAGCCCCCTCCGCCGTGTCCTGCTGCTGATCGCCAGCATGGGGCAGGCCTGAGCTGGTTCCAAGCAGCCCCTTGGGTCTGCAGGGAGACTTGGCTTTTCCCCCCGGGGGTGCCGCAGTTAGCAGGTCACGGGATGGTTTGGGGGGCTCAGTGATTGCTGGGCCCTGGCAGTGTGCTGCGTGCTTGGCAGCGTGCTCACAGGCTCTGCCCTTGCCCCAGGGCTCGGTGGCGTACACTCAGCAAGCGGGCACTCAATGGAAAACACATTTAAGGCCAAAGGGACACATAAGACTTTGCCTTCTGCGGCTCCTTGGGCATGGCTATTGCCAGCGCTTGAAAACATTCCCTCCCAACCCACCTGGGTGAGATTGTCATCCCCGTTTCATAGACGGGGAAACCGAGGCACAGGGAAGTGAAATGTCTTGGCCAGAGTTTGTTTGGTTCCCGCTTAAATAATTATACAAGAGACACCCAGACAAGCCAGGCTTCAGCCGCTCTAAGCTGCCATTAATACTGCAAGAGAAGCCGGCACCAGGGCAAACTCCTGCCAGCCAGTCACCTCCAGCAAGACTCCTTTCCACCCTCACATCGATGCGGGCAGCAAACCCTCGGCCCTCTCCAAAGCCCTGCCTCACAGGTGGCTTTGGCAGGGTGTCCGTGTCACAGAGTCCAAGCTATTTCAGATCAGCGGAGGGAGCGAGTTGTGGGGTCTCGTGAAGCTCCTCCTGCCCGGTCCAGGCTGAAATGGGCTCTTTGGTCTGGTCTCCGTAGGCGGCCTGGTATGTGTGTCATTGTTACAGCTGTGAAACCTGGTCAGCAGCCTAGCTGAGGGACCAAGGAAAACATGCACACAATGAACCAGGAGCCTCCTGGGCCCAGGATGCAAGTGTCACAGTTCAGGGCTGTGTTTCCCCCCTTGTGGTCCCTGGAGGGCACCCGCTCTAGGCTCCCAGCTCCTCCGTCGTCACCTGTCTCTCTTCCTTCTGAGCAGGGGGTTTTCCAGGCTGCACAGTTCCCTGCCTACACTGCGATATCCCCAGCAAGCCAGACTGCCCGAGCAGGCCAGCTTCTGGGCTTTGCCTTGTTCTCCAAAGCGATAAACGGCCTAGCAGCCATTGGTTACGAGTTCCCACCCAGCCCTTCCTAAGGGAGCACAGTTCTGGGCAGGTGGAAGCATGACAGAGAAAACATTTTAAAAAGTAGCTTCTAAAAAGCTTTCCAGAGGTCACCCCAACTCCAGCCTCGGGCTCGGGCCTGCATCCCTCCTTCCGACTCTCCCCTAAAGCTGTCCCGCCCATTGGCTGGAGCAGAAAGCAGGCCCTGAGTCCCTTTAAACTTCGGCCTTTCTTTACTGGTCTTGGGAGAATCCAGTCTGTCCCAGCCTACACGAGCCTCTCCCGCTGGTGGGACTTTTCTGGCGGTGTCACAACCTGAGTGAATTTCCCCAGTCACCCCCTGCTGCTCTGAGTTCCCGGAGGTCTGTGGTCGACTTCCCGCCATGGAATTACAGACAGTCCCTGGCCCACAATGATACAGGAACGTAATACAGTAAGAGCTCCCCAAGACACGGCGAGGCACAGGCCCCAACCCCGGGGGTGCTCCGGGGCTGGAGCCCCCACGGGGAAAATTTGGTGGGTGCAGAGCCCCCACCGGCAGCTCCCCGCCCCACACCTGGCCCCAGCTCGCCTCCGCTCCGCCTCCTCCCCTGAATGCGCCGCCCCCCTCTGTTTCTCCCCCACCTCCGGCTTCCTGCGGATCAGCTATTCGCGCGGGAAGGGCTGAGAAGCAGGCGGTGGCTTCGCGCTCAGGCCCAGGGAGGCGGAGTCGGAGCGGAGGGGAGCTGGGGCCAGGCGTGGGGCGGGGAGCTGCCGGTGGGGGCTCTGCACCCACCAAATTTTCCCCTTGGGGGCTCCAGCCTAAGACGCCACTTTTGATGTGATCGGTGGGGGGAGCGGTTGCTCCCCCTGCTCCTCCCCTAGCTACGCTCCCCCACCCCTAGGAGCCAGAGGGACCTGCCGGATGCTTCCTGGGAGCTGCCCCAGGTGAGCACCTCCGGGACTCCCCACCTCACCCCCCAGCAGGTGCCTCTGGCTCTTAGGGGTGGGGTGGGCACCCACTATGGTGACCCACGAGACCCTCCTGCCTGGTTCTGGGGGCAGTCGGGGACAGGGGAGGGAGGTGGATGAGCCAGAGGTCCGGGGGGGCCTCAAGGAACGCGGCGGGGTTGGATGGGGCAGGAGTCCTGGGGGGCGGGCGTGGGCCACCACCCCCTCGTGGGGTGAGGAGGGAACCGGTGGTTAAGATTTTGGCAGCTCATCCCTGGGAGCACCCGACAGCCAAACCAGAAGTCAGCACCTGTGCTGCGGGGCGTTGCCATCCCTGTCACAGCAAGGACGGGTAGCTCCCCGAGAGCATCCCTGGGCTGAACTTTTCCCACTGCGTTTCCTCTTGCGCCCCATCTCCGGAGACACTTGCGGTGGAACCAGCTCTCTGGATTGGAGGCTCGTCTCATGCCAGCTGACTGGGCCGGTGCTGATCCCACAGCAGGGGCCACCGGGGTGCGGGAGGTTCTGAGTCACCAGTCTCTGCATTCGCTGCACCAGCACATTTGACCGCTGAGCCTGGCAGTTTGAAGCACGGATCTTCCGTTTTTAACCCCATAAACCATTTCCTTTCCTTGGCACCCAAGGATCTCAAAGTGCCTAATGGGCTAATTCATCCACCCTCACCCCCCTGGGAGCTGGACAGTATCATCATCCCACCTTACAGAGGGGGAAACTGAGGCACGCATCATGCTAGTTAGGCCTTGTCCCTGCTCCTGTGAACGTAGATGGACACTTCTAAACCATTCAAGGGGTGCAGGATTGGGCCATGAGTTCACCGTGTGTCCTGATCCTTAAACCCAAGGCCATGCCTCCTCTGCCAAACTCAAAGTTGGATTCATTGTGAAAGTCCCTCATAAAGGTGACCTGTAAGGATGGGGAAATGGAGCCTGCGTCCTTATTTGCTTGGCTACTTCAAACACTTTGGGGGTGATTATTTGGTGGGGTTTTTTCGTTAATATAAAAGGAATGTCTGGAATATCAGTTCCAAACAGTGGCACTAAATGGAGGAGGAATAACGGAGCCTTGTTAGCAGAGCTCCCAAAAGTCAGACTCCAATGACTAACCAGCTTGTAGAGGCAGGAAGCCCAACTCCTTCTGTTCATCGAGTGATAGACTCCATGGCCAGAAGGGACCGTTGGGGTCATCCAGCGTGACCTCTTGGGCAGAATCCCCTGGGAGGATAACATGAGGGGGAACGGAGTCCAGGAGAGCTGGCTGTATTTCAAGGAATACCGGGAGGAAGCACAGGCAGGAATGTCTGTGAGGGGAGGGCTCCTGCCTCATACTGGGAATGAGGGGCGATCAACAGGTTATCTCAAGTGCTTATATACAAATGCACAAAGCCTTGGAAACAAGCAGGGAGAACTGGAGGTCCTGGTGATGTCAAGGAACTATGACGTGATTGGAATAACAGAGACTTGGTGGGATAACTCACATGACTGGAGTACTGTCATGGATGGTTATAAACTGTTCAGGAAGGACAGGCAGGGCAGAAAAGGTGGGGGAGTAGCACTGTATGTAAGGGAGCAGTATGACTGCTCAGAGCTCCGGTACGAAACTGCAGAAAAACCTGAG